TTTTTTTTTGTTTTTTTTTTTTTTTTTTTTTTTTTTTTTTGTCCTAGCGCTACTATTCGTTACCGGATAACCGCACGGTTTTCTTTGAAAAATTACGTTCGACGCGGAAAGGCAATGATTTTTCATCGTTGATGGGACCAGCCGGCTTTCGTATATCGGTCGTATTGTTTCCGGCGATTTGAGTGCTTTGTAAATTTCTGCGAATCGTTATTCCACGCGGCGTTTTTCAATTTTCGCCACTCTCTTTTCCTTTCATTTTCCTTCTCCCATCCCTCCCTTTAGAATTCCGAGACGTTCCGAAAAACCGTCTCGATGCGAACGTTTTCGTGTAGCTCAGCGAAGGAAATGGAATTCTCCGCCGGCAAATCGGGGCCCCACGCCGCATGTTCCCTCGCTCGTAAAAAGAGCATGTTTGTTCTCCATCGGTTGACACCGAGATCTGCCTCCCTAGAGGCAGAAAGGGTCTCGAGACACGAGCAGCTATCTGTTTCGTACACTCGCGTCGCTTTTAGCTATCGAATCACCTTAGCGCCAGCCACGCGACATCGCCGAATAAAAATCTCTCCTACGAACTAACATCTCCTAGGATTATTTTCCAATCTTTTCTATATATTCTCTCACGTTTTCGATAACTCTTTTTTGTAACAATAATAAAATTTCTTACAGTGAAAGGAATTTAACTCTCCGTTCGTCATTGAAACGATAAATAGTTGAATTTGCGAATTTTTTTATTAATAAATAGACTAAATTTATGTTTGCTCATGAACGAGATTCACACAAACTTTCACTCTCAAATATAGTATAGATCGTGATCTCGTCTTCTCTATTTTCGTCTAACGTCACGATCGTTTGTTTTGTATTTTCATATATTTGTTACAACTACACATATTCACACATAAAAAAACAATGTCTACAAGTATCTTCGAAATAGTACAAAGATGATCTTTGCGATTATTCTAATTTCGAGTTGTGCTAAGGAAAGTCCATACACTGTCATACACGATGACGAACGCTCACAGTTTATTAACAAGTTAAGATATATAAAAAATATTTCCTATATTATACATGTATTTAATTTCGTAAAATAAATCTTTTATTTCGTGTAAGGTTCCTAAATTAAATTTCAAGTAACATCCCTATTAAACATCCTTGATTAATTGACAAATCCAATAAAAACGAGTTTTATCCTCTCGTAATCGAACAACACTAACACTCTCTGTTCCTAATCTTCATATTGAACGACAAACCACTACTACCATCATCGCGTGTTACGTTTGTCTTATTCCGACACTGTATGCATAGTTCGCGTCGTACGTAGAAAACGGGAAGAGCGAAAGGAAACGAAGGAAACGTTCGTCGACCGAGCCTTTTTCAATAAAACATCGTCCCGCTTGACCTTCCCGGTACTTCCGGCCGCTCAAACGCGGCGGAAACCGAGTGTCTTCAAAGGACGTTGTACCGCTGCTGCAAACAATGGCTTGATTGCGCATTACCTGCGGCAACCGGGATAAAGTAACCACGAGAATTGAACCGACGCGATGTTGCAATACCGAACACAACCGTCCCTCTCTTGTATGCACGGAGGCCGCGGACAAGCAAAGTTCTCGATAGTGAATTATGCCGTGATCGTGTCCCGAATCCTGGTGAGCGAATCTCTCTCTCTCTCTCTCTCTCTCATTCCAGATTCCGTGGCCGTGTTCTTCCACCAGCCGGTCCGTGGCCGGACTGAAAACGCGCGAACAAAGCGCACGTCACAGCTCGCGGCTTAATTCACTTTCGATTCCCTACTTGTTGCGTTAATTCGTCGATGTCTGCGGACCTTCTCGGCCGCGCCTCCTCCTCCTCCGAAGCCTTAACGTTCTCCAAACAGGTTAACGAGCATCGACAATCGGATGAATGCGTCTCGATTAGTTTTGTATTATTTCATTACGCTCCCCTAAAGGGAAAGTTTCTCTTTCGCCTTTGCGAGTATTCGTCGAACGATGGGTACACAGTCACAGTCGTTGGTTATTTTTTAATGAAGATCGTTCCCTCGATCGTTCGCCGTTCCGCTTTTGATAAAATCGAACAGTCCAGAATGTAATTTGATAATAAATTTTATTGATTATTAAATTACGACGTTAATTACACGAAGCCCGCGGAATAACAATGCGCGTTTCCTCTCTTTATTCTCAGTGCACCGTGATTTTTCTTTTCTCACGGATGGAAAATGAACAACACAGTCTGAAGCGTACAAATGATGGAACATTCATTCGTTAATTAATTAATTTAAGCTCGCGAAAGGGCTCGTATGACTCTCACGATAAATACCCGATAGTAGCAAATAATAGATGTCGTGTATAGTAACATATTAATTGTTTACGAAACTTGTAATTAAATTACTTTCGATTTTATTAAAAACTTTGGAAATACAACGGCCAGAGAGTGTATTTAATACGTTGTTTGAATGCTCATTGAAATTATCCAAATTCTAAAAATTTAATTATAACAAAATATTAAACTTTTGAACCTTGAGCCTCTAACTCAAGTAAACTAATTAACGAAAACATTTCAGAATATCTACCAGGTGTGGCAGAAAGATAACGAAACTGTAACTAAACAAATTACTGACAGATCGTCAAAATCGTAATATAATCATTTCAACGAAAAAAATTGCACGAGTTAATTAAAAAACAAACAAAAGATAAATAAAACGCAAAACACAAACACAGTCGACGGTCCACTGTATACGGAAAATTACACGTACGATTGTTATCACGTCGAAGAAATTAATTTGTTCATTGCTATTGGCAAATGCGTGCGTATACGTTGCCTCGGCTCAATTATTTAAACAACGCCGCTGGTATTTTTATTTCCGCGCTCACTTTTTACTTTTTCACTCTGTAGAAACGACGAAACGAGTTAGAAAAATTGCACCAGACAGCCGCGGGATCCTTATTACTTGCTCGAGGCGGAGGCTTACTTGCTCACGACGAATAAACGCGCACGTCCGAAATACTCTCTCTCAAAGGGATGAATATTTCGCTCGTCGAGATAATATTGAGAGATGCGTGCAAACACTCGAACGCTTGTCAAATAATTCGCTCTCGTATTATTCGCGTAAATGAGTTACCGATATCGAAATGCATCTCGAATTGTTGCTCGAATAGTTGGCGGAATATTTATCTTCTCGACTAAGAACAGAGGGCAGAGTGAAGTACGATCGAGCTGGCTAAGCGAGATCGGCTCTCTTATAGTGCATACTCTTACGTATATATCTAAACAACGATTTACGCTTTCCTTGCAGGAACCCGAACGTGATCGATCACCATGGTCGAAACGACACGCTTCTGCCCGCCAGCCGGGAGAAAAGCCGTTTCCGTACCTTGACGTGGGAGCAATATGACCCGGTACACCAAAAATACCTGGAGATCGGTAAGTCACTCTCTCAACGCCCGTGAAAATCCCCGTTACCCGAGTTATTGTTTCTCCTTTTTCTTTTCCCTCCTTTTCATCTTTTCTCCCTCGCTCTCACATTTTCCCTCGACCATCTAATTAGATGGTAGCTTCGCCGGTAGGTTGCATAGTGCTCGACGGCACTTACGCTGTATGATTTCGTGTGTAGGGCCGGTAATGCGCGGCGCGGCGCGTGAATCATGCGCGAGTCGAATTAACGTGGAATCAAGGGGTTGGCCGCCAGAGGGGCACGTTTCCATCGCGCTGGAAAAATGAAGTGCCCGCGGGTGAAAAACCGGGACTCGTGGCTCGCTTGTCCGGCTCGGAGAGAAAGAGAGAGAGAGAGAGAGAGAGAGAGAGAGAGAGAAGGAGAGCCGTGAGGGAAAAGACGTTTCGCGAGGTCATTTTTATTTTCAGCGGCTCTCGAGTACACGGCAGATGACGTGAAAGGAACCCTTTGACCTGGAAAAGAATTTGCGGCCTTTTCCCCTCCTACCCGCCGTTTCTTTTCTCTTTTACTCTTTCATTCGTTCTCCCTCTTTGTCTACCTGTTTTTCTTCTTCCTCTCTCTCTCTCTCTCTTTCTCTCTTTCTCTCTGTTTCACACATACTTTCTCTCTCCTTTCTTTCCCTCCCGATCTCTTCATTTCTTTTTCTTCCTTTCTTTCTTTCATTCTTTCTTTTTTTTCTCTCTCTCTCTCCACTCCACGCGCCGCGTTTTTTGCCGCGTAACGTAACGATGAACGCCGACATAATTCCATTAGCATTTGAAGGCAATGTGAAAGCACTAATTAAGCTAATTAGGAGTGTTTCATGACGGCGATTCGCTTGATGCAGCGAGCAGCAACGGTTCAAAAGAAACGCACGTGAAAATGTAGCGAACTAATTGGAATAAAAAGGATACTCCGTCAGGTGTAACTGAAACGGGGAAGTAAACCGGGATCCGAATAAATGACCGCGGACATTCGTTTAATGAATTCTTTATCAATCAGCCATTCGGCCGGCAACGTAGCTGGGAATTCGCGTCGAAAATGGTGAGATTCTGGCGACACGTGTATAAACTTGAAGAGGAGCGAAATTTTTTTTTCAATGGATGGTCGTTCGACCGCAATCTTCCGCGAATCCCTCAATTTTCCGCGTTTCTTTAGTTTTTCAGCTGCGTTCTTCTTGCGGAATTCCGATTGTGACTCTATTGAGCGTTGATAAGAGAGAGGAAAAGAATATTCGTATCGAATTCTTATTGCGTCTCTCTCGGACGAGCACGTTCATACGACTCTCCCTATGAATAGCTATGAATTTTTTTCTGTTTACTCGTGAACGACGTTAGTCAAAGGAAATGAGAAATCTCTCAGAAAGAGACTCCTCCTTCGTGCTTTATTCGAGTTTCTTTTCATTGAGAGCGTCGAGGAAGATCCGAGAAGAAAGTTCCAAAGATCGTTTGAAGTTAATATTCCATAGAGATACAATTAACCGCAACCGTGCGTTGTTCTTCAAACATTTCTGGTCCTGTGTCCAAGCGTGACTGAACGATAACTTTATTTTAGTGATTTCGATGACCAGTCTGTCTGGATAACAATTTTATTTTCATTAATATCGCGTTTACAGTAGCGACTTTTTATTTTTATTTCAAAGAAGCACGCATTTTCGTCTTTCCCCAATTTCTTTGGTTTAAGTATCGAATCTATCGGAGTATATTTGCGTCAATTTTTCTTATAACACAAACGTGAAATTTGTTGAGACACGTGGCATGTATTGTTACTATAGCAGAGCCTACTTCTATTTTACTAATATATTAATATCCTAATTACTGCAATAAAATGTCTGTCAATAAGTGACGATTTTCTTGTTATGAACAGACATTTCCTTGTTGAATAATAACATTCGAATATCAAGATATATAAATAGTGGTTCGAATGAAGAACGTTTTATTATATTTTTGATAACGAATTGTAAATAATATTCTCATTGTAAATAATATCTTTGAACATGACGAGAACTCAAACAAATAATCAAAAACTTAGACAAAACTCGAGGAAGCAAGATCACGACGTGAAATTGAATATCCATAGGCCAGAGAAATCTAGTTTATTTATTATAAAATAAAAGAAATTTACAGATTGAATTGTTTATTCTTCCGTTGTAGATATTCGTTCATTGCCATCCCGTCAACATGATACGAAAGCAACGAGACAGACAAGAGTTAAACAATTGGAAGAAAACCATCCTCTCCTCGAAAGTCTCGTTTAACGAACTTGTCTAATTATTCACACTCACTTATTGTCGGGATAACAACGAAACTACGTTAAAGTTAAAGTGCAAGTCGAGCTTTCATAGAGACAAGTAGAACAGATATATACCGTACTCAGACAGACGAAATCAAGTTAGAACCAGGCGGCAAGTAGAATAGGTCGATGCATGAGGTCAGGCAGTCGCCAATCGTTCTATTCTACTCGAAGTACCAACAACCGGCAGCGGGGACTCGACGTTCGCAAAAAAAATTCCGAAAGAAAATTGAGGAAGGATCCTTCGAGTTCGGTATTGTTTCATCGTGTTCCGTCAGAGAGATACGACTCGACCGCGCGTTATTCAGGTCGAGATTAATATTAGTCCTGGCCGATTCGCATATCCTGCCAGTAATAACGGGGTTGATGTAATCGTCCTCGGTGCTGTATCGAGGCCGGTCACGACCACCGTGAAATATTGAGCTGTCAAGTGTGTGCCAGAGGTGTATGATACTTGAACGCGGTAGAAACTCCGGCGAACGTATCAGACGGTCGTTTCATTAATGAGTGATCAATAGCCGGGGCCAGCGTAATCGTGCCGACTGTTGCTTAACCGCACCGCTCGGCTGCGATAACCCTATCTATCGCCTGTAATTTATTATTATCGTTGGCCCTCGTCATTCAAAATTCATTAGGCACTAATTAACCCGGTGCCATTACATCTCACCCCCGTTATTAAACGATATTATCAAATTTTCGAGGCTCGTCGACGAGTGGCCCGATGCCTGGTCTTTATTACTGGGCTCGGCTATGCATCATCCATCGACCTTTGATCATTTTCAGGCTGCCTTCGACGCTTCCGAGGGCTTTCGTACCCGAGGCTCAAGCCAGCTGGAAACTCTCTTTCGCAAACTTCGTGCAACTTTGCTTCGGAGCTCTCTGATTTGCGAAGAATCAAAGTATCACCCGAGGAACCTTATCTCTCTTCTCTCTCTCTCTCTCTCGCGCGCGCGCTCACGCGTGTTTTATCATCGACGAGGAACGTCGTCCTTTCACACGCGACTTTGGCTTAACGCGATCAATGTGGATCTTTGATCAATCTTTGAAGGCTGAAATTTACTTGTCCCGCCAGAAAACATCATTAGTAACACCGGTTTCAAAGCTCGGGAACGCTTCTGACGCTTACGTACACACGTAATTATTAGACCGCGGATTTTTCCACGTTTATGGCAGAAGGTTAAATTACGAGACTTCACGGAACGTGTACAGCGCGATAAAATATGCAAAACGTTCAAATGTACAGTGCTTCTAATAATATTTGGTTCTACGTTTTTAATTATATCTTCAAAGACATGAATTCGTACGAAGAACCGACGTCTGATAATTGAACAGACCAATAATTATTTAATCATAAATTGCCGAATAAGAATTTCTGAATTCATCGATGATGGCTTGGATCTAGAAAGAATCTGGAAAAAATCATTCGAACAATGTCTTTCTGATTATTGTCGGGAAAAGTTGCTGTAGCGATTGTAATAGTACTTCTACTCTTTTATTTTTCTTTTTCTTATTTATTATTGCATCTTATATAGTGGTCTTACCTGTTTAACCCTAAATATTATTATTACTATTATTATATATTTTTAGAAAAATATATTTTTACAGCAAACCGTTAATCGATTCAATTTAGAAGAAACGAATGTAAATGAATTCAACATTCAAACATACAATACTAGAGACAAGAACATCGAAATCACTTATTAAGATTACTCGTGTTTTGCGTAAATTTTGCTTCGATGTCGCCGCAGTTAAACGAGCAGACGAAAATAGAAACTGCTTCGACCGTTGAAAATGAACGAGAGAGAGAGAGAGGCACCGAAGGAAAGCTGACGTACGAGTTATTACCGGGAGTGTTGGAGTTAAAAAATAAAAAAAAGCGGGCTCTCGAGACGATGCATTCCACGTGTGCCGCCCTAAAAAGCGAACAAAACGCTTCTCGATCGGCAACACGAGCGACAAAACAGATCGCCGATAGTTGCCGAAACGATTCACTGACTCGTTCGGGTATCGGTTGAAGGATCGGTGGGCGAGGCAGGGACATAGGTAGGACTCGAACAGACACGACGGGACACGTTCGCAGTTACTCAGACCGGGTGGATGGTGAAAAATCACTGTGAAACGATAGTCCGCATTCCGTAGCCGTTTCCACGGATCCTTGTAGCGTCGCGAACCGTGAAAAATGAACCGTGAAAATGGACCGGAATGGGAGGAGCCAGCGCGTCTGCCCTCCCGTGATTAATTTTTTTTCCTTTGTCTTTCTTATCCGGCCGAATGAGCTCGCCTCGAGTCTCAAGACCTACCAACCTCTTCGTTAGCCGGCTAAGCAACGAGGGAGCTAGTGGAGGAACCACGTCTCTCTGGGCAACTTTGTTTTCGTACAGGCTGAGGCTAATTAATTTAGTCGTTGCACGACGGAAGGGGACGACGACGATGTTGTTTAGGGAGGGTGAAACGTTCCGTCGATTGGTCGTGTTTAGTTTGAGGCAGTTTAAGGCCGCCGGTGGAAACGTTTCTTTCATTTAGAATGCAAGTCGCACAACCTCGAAGAATATTCTTGCATTTTCTTTCAACGTTTCTTGCGTTACTGTTTGCGTTATAATTATTTTAGTTTCGTCGATTTATAGCTCGGTTTGAATTATATATTAAATATTATTAAATGAATTAAACCAACCATATTGCGTATAATATATAATTATAA